GTCGGGCTTATCAAATGCAGAGTGCACAACCTCCTCATGCCCCGTCAATATGCATCACTATTTGTGAATACCATCCCCTTGCTGCCGCATGTGGCGCAAAGCCTTCTCTCAGATGACTCGAGAATGTGCTGTTGTTGTGAGTCATGAGAACCAGTTCAGTTGCCACCAGCCACAACGTGGAAGTCTCCATTAAAACATTGGCAAAAGATGGATGTTAAAAAGTGGAACCCACAAAGGGAAATATAGTCAGATTATTATGTTGACGAGTGTTTTAGCCCAATATGGAGTGGAAAAAGCACAACCTAAAAAAAAAAAAGAGAATAGAGAGAAGGAAGAAAATCAAGGAAAGTAGATGTGAGACATATAAGAAAAGAAATAGCAAATCAATAAAAAAAGAAGAAGGGATAAATGGATGCCAAAAAGTGGGATATACAAAGGGCAATATTGTCATAATACTGTGTTAAGGAATGTTTTAGTCATAGAGGGAGTGGAAAAAGCGTGACCCTAAATATATTATTACAAAAGGTTAATATCACGAAAAATCCCAAACTAGTGCACCTGTGATAAATTTACCCCAAACTATTTTTTGTACCACAAAAAATCCAAACTAGTACACTTGTGACAATTTTACCTGAACTATTTTTTTTACCACAAAAAACCCCACACTGGTACACTTGTGACAATTTTACCCCCGAACTAATTTTTTGACCATCAAAAACTCCAAACTGGTACACCTATGGCAAATTTACCTTCTGTTAATTTTCATTAAATTTTACTGTCAAATTGCTAAGTTTAATGACACGTGATAATTGACAGGTGTACCGATTTTGGATTTTACCCATCTGTTTATCATAAGTTTACCAATTTGTGATTTTTCTTGATATTAATCCAATTTAACGGATACTAACGAAGGGTAAATTTGTCACAAATGTACCAGTTTAGAGTTTTTAGTAGTCAAAAAATTAGTTTTGAGTAAAATTATCATAGATATACCAGTTTGGGATTTTTTATGGTCAAAAAATTAGTTCAGGATAAAATTATCACAAGTGTATTAGTTTGAGTTTTTGGTGATCAAAAAAATAATTCGGAATAAATTTATCACAGATGTAACAGTTTTGGGTTTTTTTGTGGTCAAAAAAATAGTTTGGGGTAAAATTATCATAGGTGTACCAGTTTGGGGTTTTTCGTGATATTAACCCTATTACAAATTATTTCCTTTTACTCTCTGAGTTAGTGTCATATGTACCCAAGGAAAAGTGTCAAAAAAGTCCTAAACTTATTGCATTTGTGCCAATTTAGTTCTAAACATTTTTTTTATCAATTCAGTCATAAACCTTTTTTCTGTGTCAATTCAATCCTTCCAACTAATTTTGGCTAAATATTATTGATGTGGATGCCGGTTGGCCTACATGGCACCGCCAGCGATGACGTGGACAAATTTTAATAATTTTTTTAAGATTTTCTTTTTTTTTCCCTTCCCTTTCTTCTTCCTCCAACCGGCGATTGGCTGGAGGCCAACGAACCCTGCCAGCCACTAGCGAGGCTTGCCCTCACCAGATCCGGCCCAGTGCAAGGCTGCCCTAGAGGCCATATGGCGAGGTCCAAGGCTACGACCTCGCGGCCTCCTGCAAGGTCGCCTCTGACGAGGGCTCGAGCCTCGCCCTGGCGAGGCTCGTGCCCTTGCCAAAGGCTACGAGGTTGAAGGCTGCAGCCTTGAGCCTCCCCAGTGGCTAGCGTGGTTGACCTCGCTGGCCTTGGCCTCTAGTCTGCTAGAGGAAGAAGAAAGGGAAGGGGAAAAAAAGAAAAAGAAAAGAAAAAATTTAAAAATTAAATAAATAATTTAAAAATATTAAAATATTATTAAAGGTTGATCACATCATCGTCAACAGTGCCACGTAAGCTGGCCAGCATTCATGTCAGCAATATCCGACCAAAATTAGCCGGAATGACTAAATTGGCACAAAAACAAAAGGTTTAGGACTAAATTGATAACAAAAAAAAAAAGTTTAGGACTAAATTGGCAGAAATGTAATAAGTTTAGAACTTTTCTAACACTTTTTTTATTATTTTATTATTTTTCTTTTCTTTTCTTTTCTTTTCTTTTTCCTTTTTTTCCTTTTCTTTCCCTTCCCTTTGTTTTCCTCCCTTCATCTTCAACCTCTAGCCGGTCGCTAGCAAGGGGAAAAAAAAGAAAGGGAAAGAAAAGAAAAATAAAGGAAAAAGAAAAGAAAAGGAAAAATATAAAAATTAATTAAAAAAATATTTAAAAATTGCACGTCAATGTTGGCCTGACAACCGGCGTCCACGTTAGCGCTGGCCCACCAAAATTGGCCAGATGGATTGAATTGGCACAAATCCAAAAAGGTTTAGAACTAAATCGACATAAAAAAAAGGTTTAGGACTGAATTGACACAATTGCAATAAATTTCAAACTATTTTGGTAATTTTCCCTTTCCTTTTTCTTTCTTCCTCGGCTGATGACCAAAAACGGCTATGGCTGGCAACCAGCTACAGGAATGGGATGAGCTCGCCAAAGGCCGAGGCCAACAAGCTTGAGTCTTGGCAACGCAGAGGTCGGTGAGGCCTCAAGCTCGCCTAGCATGGCCAGCTTCCAACCAAAGAAGAAGGAAAAAGAAAAGGAAAGAAAAGAAAAAAATAATCAAATTTTGAATTTTTTTAAATATTAAAATATAAAATGAAAATAAAAATTATTAAAAGGAGTGCACAGAGAAAAATTAAATAAAATATTCAATACCAACTAGCAGAAAATATTTTCCAATTCATTTTCATGTTTCAGCCATATACCGGAAAATAACTGTCTAAGAAACATTTTCCAGAAATGTCATGTTTATGTGAAACAAAGGGAGCCTCAATTTTTTAAAAAATGATTTGTATTGCATAAAAGTGTTTTAGCAATGCAATTTTTTTTAAAAATCATAAAAAATAAGTTTTCCTATATTTTATTAAATATATAAGTGTTCTAGCAATATAAATCGAGTCAAGTATAAATTCGGTATGAGTCAGCTCGGGTATGGATCGAGAAATTTACATTATGGATAAATGGGTCAAAAACGGGTTAACGAGTCAATTTGGGTCGTATCATTTATGACCCGATCCAAATCCGATTCGACCCATCCGTCTAGCAAATCTAATTCTAGCTTACTTTCCATGAATTATATCAATGCACACTCACCTTATTTTTTATGATTAAATATTGAAGTGTTTTAGCAATATGAATTGGATCAAGTATATGTTCGGTATGAGTCAACTCGGGTATGAATCAAGAAATTTACATTATGAATAAATGGGTTAGGACCATCAAATGCTTGCCATGTTTGCTATCTCTTTTGTTGTAATGTTGTCCGTGTCATCTAATTGCAGGAAATGAACCTAATCCCACTCCTAAATGGTTTTGGCATGGGAGTGGAACTTCTGTACTTAAGTCTCAAGGAGCCTCTCACTGACTGAGTTTCACAACTCACCTCAAACACTCTCATCCACTGGGATTTGCTCTAGTAATCACCATTCTTACTTGGGAAGGGGAAAGTAGAGAGTTTGAATTCCCACCTTTCAAGGGGGCTAGGGTGGGGACGTGTAGTTTCAGATATGGATTTCGACTCCCACGCCCTGCAAGAGGCAGGACAAAAGTCTGAGAGTGAGTTGAGAGTTAGAGTAAGACAGACAAAAAAAAAAACCTCAAACACTCTCAAATAATCAAAGTTGGTTGTTCTGAGTTTCTTCGGGCGTGTTATCTCGAGCGAGAACCCTTGTGTCCTTTCACTGTGGATCCCTTGGATACTGGAGAACCTAACCATGAAGAACGTCGGAACGCGACTTTTTGACCTCTGCCGCCTCATCTCGTTGCTCTCGGTTTTCGCCCGGCCCATCCATTTTATGTGCTCGAGCCGGAACCAATGCTACTTAAAAGACGAAACTATTTCGCAGACTCAGTTATCCTATGTTCTGTGTTGCCTTTTGATGCACGTAGTTAAGATTTCCTCGATGGAACTACCCAGGAGTGATCTCTTTTTGTGTCGTCGGCATCCCTATGTTTAAGGTTTCCTTTCGAACGAGTTTAACGATGTTTCGTTTATTGAGGAAGGTTCGTTCATTAAACGTGCCCCAAACTTCGTATACTTCTTTAATCAATCCAAGCTTCACCTGAAGAATCTGAGCGCTGCACAGACGACCGCCAGATGCCTAGGCTCAATTGAATAGATTGTTCTGCCGGACACAATCGGAAAAGTGATGAACTCAATTCGTGTATCGTGATTGGGTCAAAATGCAAAACTTTTTCTACGTGACTTCTAACTCTGTTGTTTGACTCTGTCCCCACTTTCACGCGAGATGTCGTTTTTAATGGGAAAATAACATAAATTGTCTCTTAATTTTGATTTAATGTGTAATTCTTAAATGATTTTAGCCCAATGTATATTGTGGTATCTGAACTTTTATTATATGTTCAATTTAATCTCCGAACCACGTGAAAATATTCAATGTTGTCCCTGAAATTGAACTTATAAAAGGATAACATGAAACCTGTTTATATGATTTAGAGATTAAGTTTAAACACAAACCAAAAATTCATGGACCATATTGAACAAATTGAAAGTTCGGAGATCAAAATAAATATTGGGCTAAAATTTATGCACCATAATAAATAAATTAAAAGTTCGGAGATTACATTACACGTTAAATCAAAGTTTCAGGAACCATGCGCATCATTGTCCATTTTTAATGAACAAATTTTATCCGCTCCCCCGCGGCGCATCTGAAGCGGTGAGCCGCTGTCGCCCCCTGCGAGGGTCCCCGCGATGACGTGTCGAGCGGGCATTGGCCCGGGGAGCCAAGGGGAGGTCGGGTCGGGTCGGGTCGGGTCGGGTGCTCCGTTTTCTCTCACGCGTTCTGGAGAAGTCTAAACTCGCTCTCCTGCCAACCTTCTCGCTCGTATAAGAAGAAGCCATTTGCTGAATCGGTTGCTCCTCTGCACTTCGTTCATCTTCTCGAACTTTCACGCACGCAGAGCTACAGAGAGAGAGAGAGAGAGAGAGATCGAAGCTGCGGCTGCTGCTTCTTCTTCTTCTTCTTCTTCTTGTTGTGGAGCGAGCTCAGCTGGGCTAGGCTATGGAGGGGTACGCGAGGACGAGGACGAAGATGAAGCGCAAGGACCTCGACCAAGTCAGCGACGACTTCTCCGACTTCTCCCTCTCTTCCCCCGCCCGCAAGATTCGCCGCCTGGTACCCCCTCTCGATCGATCGGCCGTTCGATCGGTCGGTCCGTCGGTTTCGTCTGTTGTGGTTCGCGCTTGTTGTGTCTCTGACATCGCCTTCGATTTATGTGACAGGACGCGGAGTTGCCGCCGATCATGGAGGACGACGAGCCCGAAATCGCGGCGCCCCGCCTCCGATCGGACCCTGCGATCCTGCGCGGCGGCGGCGGCGGCGGCGGCCCGGTGATCGAGGAATTGGGGGCGGAGTCGGCCGCGGCGTCGTCCTCCTCCTCGGCCGCCGCACCGGCGAACGAGGAGAGGGCGATCGTTCTCTTCAAGCAGCCCGTGCACGGCCGTCTTCTGGGAGGGCAGTCGCCTTCGAGTTTCTCTGTTTCCGTGGACCCTGGCTTCATCTCCGGGTTTAAGAGTAAGTAAACCCGAGCCCCTCGCTCCTTCTTTTTCTTAGGTTCTCGGTGGGATGGTTAAAGCCATTTGTCGTTTGTCTTGGCTGAGATACTGGTCAGCTCTATTAATTTTTAGGAAAATGGAGATGGCATGAACATGGTTTTATCTAGTGTGCTTAATAGACTCTGCTTGGTAAACATTGTGCAAGTGGTCAGTGAGCTTGGCCTTGTTTCATTTCTAGTTTGGAACTGGGCAGTCACTTGCAGATCAAGTTTGATTTTGTTCTCCATTTTTATATTGGTTCTGGTAGAGTGTTATTATGTTTAGAGTAGAAGCCTGAGAGAATTATGTGCTCTTATGTGTTCTATCCTGGTGTATTGCTGAACTGCTGCTAAGCTAAAAATGCGCAGATGAATTTGTTTTCGGGTAAAAAAGGCTAGAAATGGTGAAAGAAATTCTTCACATACAAGCATTGTGGTTGTTGAACTTATTGGTTAGTTAGATTGAGGATTTAAAACTAAGCAGATCGCGTAAACGAAAACCAAAATTTGAGATGAGAATGTCTTTTGTTGTCTGGAACACGATTAGAAGCCGCAGGAATGCTTGAATCAATACGAAAGTAGTCAAGGATTTCAAGGAATTTCTGAACAGTTGAAAAGTAGTTGACAATCTGACATAGGTGCGCCAGTCTCACCACAAAGACTAATTCTTTAGGGTTCGCACTTAAGAATAATTGCATCAAACATTCTTAATTTCTAAAGCGAATGCTTGCAAAATTCAGATAAGCATCAACTCTATTGAAAATAAAGAATTACACCATACAAATAGGCTCTCGAAAAGTTCTACTCCTAGTGGAAATAGGATATCTGAAAACAGGAAACGTGGTCAAAATGGGAAACCTCTATAAAGGAAGTATCATATCCTACTCCAAAAGAAAAGGAGACTCAGTAAAATCTTAGTAATATTCAAATCCTAGTTTATAGCTTCACCCGTTAAACTTGAAGGAGTATCCTAATCCTTTTAGAAACTCTTCTTTTGACTGTGAATCAACAATGGTACATCTGCACTCAAGCTTAGTAAAAACATCAATTTTTAAACAAATATCATCTTGTATGATTTTGTTGGCTGCATCATTCTCCTTGGTTGGAGAAAATTCATTTTCGAGTTTTGAAGTGTGGAACAATTGAATTGATTAGCTTCATCATCACCATGACTAGTTCTGTTCCTCGAGCAGAAAGAAATTAAATTGGAGCATGTTTTGAGAAAAAAACTCCTGATCTAACTTTTATGTGATATAAACTTGGATGGTATCACGAGATCAATATCCTCAACTATGCTTCACAACCACCTCGAACAGAATGTTGCTTGTCTTGCCCAATGCACCTTCACTGGACATTGATAAGCCACATGACTGAAATCTCCACTCCAGATTCACACAATTTTTAAGCCATCCTCCTTACTTAATCTATTATTATTTTTTAGAGTTCACATTCTTCAATACTTGAAACATGAACACCCCTACGGTTTTCATGTTGTGGAGGGACTTGATCAGCAGTTCTTTCTATATGTTGCATCCCCAGGACAATAAACAACTTCCTTATATGCTCAGCTAGTTCATCAATCTTGTCATTTATTGCTCGAAACAGAGTTCATGATCTTTACCTAAAGTGTCTGACTCAGGTGTCAACTCGCCAACCTTGGGATTCAACTCAACGATAAATAGACTCTCTAAAAGTTAATACTCCTAGTGGAAATAGGAAATCTCAAAACAAGATATATAATCAAAATGGAAAACCTCTAAAAAGTAAAATATTATATCCTGCATAAAATAAGAAAAGGAAACTTAATAAGATCCTAATAATATTTAATCCCAGTTGATGACTTCTCTAATTAAACTTGAAGGAGAGTCCCAATCATTTTAGGAACTCATCTTTTGATTGTGAATCAACGATGGTCCATCTTCGGTCAAGCTTAGTAAGAACACCAATCTTTGAACAAATATCATCTTGCTATTATTTTGTTGGCTGCATTAGAATGTTAAGTGTAAAAGTGGTCAAGTTACAGTGATCGATCCTTTGGAGGTCCTTTCCAATAGTTTTAGGTGGAAAGGTAAACTTCTTCTAGACAAGTAAGGATCCTTAATTAAACAATCTCTGAGGAAGTTTATTTCTAATTAGGAAAAAGTTTGGAATGGGAAAAAGGAAGACTGATATTCTAGCAAATTGTTAAGTGCAAATAATAATTGACAACCGGAGAGAAAGAACAAAACCTCGCCTTCATGAATTAGATTTGTTGCAAATGTGAAGTTCAAGGCCTTGAGAATAGCAGTTTCTTTCTTGAGCTTGCTTCAGTATGATATGGGTGTTTCTTGGGCAGTGTCATGACAAAATCATTGACAGTATTTTCCATATGCTCCAGATCAATTCTACTGGTCGAATGAGCCTGCCCACGAGAAATTGATTGAAGACGAGACAGGCAATGCAGTGACAAATAAGGGAGGTGCTAACTGTATGGCCGTGGTCCCTTGGATTCCTTCTCTGTTTCCTCCTGCACCAGGCATTGAACTCCTCCAGACCGAGGGTAGTGAGGCAATGGAGGCCGAGGAAATGGGCGACGGGACAATGGAGATTGAAGATGCAAATGAAAGTTACCCGGTAGGTCAAGAACAAGCACATGGTTATGCCGGACAGAGCACGAGTGAAGGATTTCAGCAGTGGCAGCAACCGCACTGTATGACACCTCAGCCACCCCAGAGCGTCTCTACTCCACTCGTGTGGTATCGGTAACATGTCTATGATGTTAAGTTTTCCTTGAATGCCAACCGGCGACAACTTCAGAGGATCTGCAACAGAATGCAACCGGATAGTTACAAGGAGACAACTCTTGCAGCTTTTCCTTTTTGATCGGGGAAGTGGAAATGAAAGATTTTGTACAGAGGGTTAGGAGTAAAGATGTATGTATTATGAGAACTCACGTGTGAGGGTAGATGGAGGTTTTCTCCTTTGCCGATGTGCCCAAGATTCTGCTCCTTCCTCTTCTGGAAGGGGGCTTTCAATGTTTTGTGGCAAGCACTAGCTAGTGATGTTAAGTCTATTTAGCACGATGGCAATGAGAGATGGAGCATTGTCAAAAGTCGCATCAGCGGATGAACTGCACTCTGCATTTTCCGCAAATGGATGTATTTTTTGGTGTTGATGACTCCTGTTTGTGTCTGGTCCAGTCTGTAGTAGGTGGTTCTTAATTGGACCCAACAAAAGCTTGGGAGTTGACCTGTTTGTTTAAGGCGGAAGAAGCCGGGAATGGTCTAATCCAAATTGATCAATTTAACACTTAATTTTATGCAATATGATTTTAGTGATTCGTATCTAATCCGGCCCGGTTTCAATTTATACTTGACTCAATACATAGTATAAACACAATTTTGTCTAATCAACCTATGAAAATTATATAATTTATTTAATCCACCTTAAGCTTTTCATGTGAATATATTACTTGGATAGAATTTTTTATCAAATCAAATAAATAGATGTTGGTAAACAAATTATAAGATGTTAGTACCATGAAGTTCTAACCTGATGCTGATCAAATTATATGGCAATTATATGGTGCTATATAGGCGTTGCATCGTGTCAGTAATAAAATAAGATGATGATATAAGAAACAGAATAGTCAAAGAACGTTATCTGTGCGTATCGATTAAATTTACATCTCAGTGTCACTCTCCCTTCACCACCATGGCATAGAAAAGAACTTTAGAAAGCAGAAATTTAGGCTGCGAATAACAACCATTCTATTTCAGAAATCAATTTCTGATCAGAAATTGATTTTTTTATTTCTGTTCCTAGAGGAGTTTCTGAGTAAAAAAACACGTTTGATAACGACACAAAATTTATGTTCCAGAAATAGAAATTTGTTTGATAAGGATACAAAATTTCTCTCTCAGATGGTCGGAGAATGGACGGCGGGCAACAGACGGTGGCAACGGACGGCAGACGGTGGCAACGAACGGCGGATAGCGGGGGAAGGCGGCGGCAAACAGCAATGAGACCAATGCGGAGGATGGCGGCCGGTGACGAGAGGAGGGTAGCGGCGAGAGGAGGGCGACCGGCAGCGGGAGACTATGGCCGGTGGGTGGCGGCCAGCAGCGGGAGGTGGGCAGCGGCCGAAGGCGGGCGGTGGCGGGAGGAGGAGGGCGACCAGTGGTAGGAGACGGTGGCCGGTGAACGGCGGGCGGCGGGCTACAGTGGGCGGCGACAGGAGGAGGGCGGCCGGAGGCAGGAGCGGTGGCCGATGGATGGCGGGCGGCGGCTGGCGTTGGGAGGTGGGCGGCGGCCGAAGGCGGGTGGCGGCGGGAGACGATGGTAGGCAACGGCAGGAGGAGGGTGGCCGATGGCGGGAGACGATGGCCGACAGTGGGAGGCGAGCGGCGGCGGAAGGAGGGAGGCCGGTGGCGGGAGACGATGGACGGTAGACGGCAGCGGGCGGCGAGAGACGGTAGACAGCGGCCCACGGCGGCGACCAACGGCGACCGACAAGTGGGCGGTGACCAGCGGCGGGTGGGCAACTGGCTAGTAACGAGGACGAGGGATGAGAAAAATTTTAACTTTTCATTTCTGTTTCAGAAATAGAAAAGCAAAAAATTTTAACTTCTGATTTCTGTTTCAAACCTATTTCTGGAATAAAAATTTGTTCCAGAAATAGAAAATTAAATTACGTTACCAAACGGATTTCTGTTCCAAACCTATTTCTGGAACAAAAATAGAGAAACATAATGGTTATCATTCGCAACCTTATAGGTTCGATTTTCGATTTACCCTCGGTTTCAAAAAAATCTCGGTTAGTTTACTAAAGATGAGTTAGGCCTAGCTGTATTGCTTGGGCTTTCCCATCTCATTTAATTATTTATTCGACAACAAAACTCGCTCAATTGGTGCTTTATTAGAACCTTAAATCGAATATTCCAAATGTAGATCAAGTAAGTCGGATCCCGTCCATATTGATAACGTTCCTAGTCAGCAATCTTATCCCTTGTATCTAATTTAAGAATATTGCTCCCATAATCTCTACTTACCTTAATCATCCTCAATCATCCCTAATTTAGGGCTCTTGTAATATCTATATATACAATACACTTGTACAATACAAGAGAAGATGAGAAATACAAAAACAGAAAAACACAATTTCTTCATGGTATCAAAGCCGCATTTGGCATAATCCGCCTTGCGATCCTGAAGTTTCTTTCTCGTCTCATTCCTCATCGTCTTCCTTCTTCCCAAAGAAAATGTCGACAAGCCCTAATCCATCATCTCAGTCGTCTTCATCTGTCGTATCTCCCTCACTCGTTATCTCAAACATATCCAACTTGATACCCATCAAATTAAACAGCTCGAACTATCTTCTCTAGCGCTCACTTTTCGAACCAATTCTCAAAGGCCATAATCTCATGTCTTACATTGATGGAACCTCCCAAGCGCCTGCTTCAACTGATGAAAATTACAAGACATGGATCGAAAAAGATCAGATGCTACTCTCCTGGATCAACGCTACTCTCTCTGAATCTGTACTTCCATATGTCATTGGCGCTACTTCTGCAAAAGCCGCGTGGGATGTCCTTGCTCGTCACTATGCCTCTCTCACTCCTGCTCATGTAATGTCTCTCAAAAGACAATTACATCACCTCAAGAAGGGCAACCTCACCATGCAAGAATATCTCCAACAATTCAAAACTTTAGCTGATAAACTTGCAATTTACGGATCCCTAGTAAGTGATGATGATCTCCTAATTTGTATTCTTAATGGATTGCCTGCTGCGTACCGCTCCTTTGCATCCTCTGTTCGTGTTCGTGCTTATCAAACTTCCATCACCATTGAAGATTTACACAATCTCCTATTCTCTGAAGAACTGAGTATCACTGATGATTCAATATTCAAAACTACTTCTGCCTTCGTTGCAAACCGGCAACCTCGAACTCTCTCTCTTGGGCAGCACTCATTCACACCTCGTCCCTATAGGGGTGGCACCGGTTATAGGGGACGCAGCAGGGGTCATTCCAATCAAGCCGGACTTCTCCCTACTCCATCATTTCGACCTCAAGGTCGTCAACTGAATACTGGTCGCCTGATCTGTCAGATCTACAACAAACACAGCCATAGTGCCATTGACTGCTATCATCGAATGAACTATGCATACCACGATCATAATCCTCCTGAAAAACTTGCTGCCATGGCTATTGCGCCACCTACTAACGATGGCACTTGGTATACTGATATTGGGGCTAGCCATCATATTACAGGCGATCTGGGTAATCTCTCCATCTCCGCTCCCTATAGTGGTTCTGATGAAGTTCAGGTTGGAAATGGCCAAGGTTTGTCTATTACTCATGTTCGTTCCACTTCTCTCTCACATCCTGTTTCTTCCATGCAATTAACTAATATACTTCGTTGTCCTCTAGCATCTACCAATTTAATTTCAGTTAGCCGTTTTGCTAAAGACAACAACTGCTATTTTCTATTTGATGATTCTCAATTTGTTGTGAAGGACAAGATAACGGGGCAAATTCTACACCACAGTTGGACTAAGAATGGGCTTTATCCTATGCGGTTCCCCAAACCTTGCTTCAAGCCTCAAGTTTCATTTTCTTCTCGCATTGACTCCTCCACCTCGCATCATCGTCTCGGCCACCCTTCTGCAGCTATTCAAAATCTTATTTTTAAACAACTTTGAATATCAAATAAGCGTGACAACTCTCTTTGTTCTGCATGTCAGTTAGGCAAAAGTTGCAAGTTACCCTTTTCGTTGTCTCACACACGCGCTCAATTTCCACTTGAACTGATTCATTGTGATGTATGGGGACTAGCCCCAGTATCTTCTATTTCAAAATTTTCCTACTATGTACTGCTTGTCGATGATTTCTCTCGTCACAGCTGGATATTTCCTATGCGCCATAAATCTGATTTTTACGAAATTTTTCTGGCTTTCAAACCGCAAGTTGAAAATCAATTTAACCATCGAATTAAATTTTTCCGCTCCGATGCTGGTGGCGAATTCACTAGTGATGCAATTGAATCTTATTTTCATACTCATGGCATTCGTCATCAATTTTCCTGCCCACATACGTCTGAACAAAATGGTGTCGTTGAGCGAAACATCACCACGTAGTTGAAACTGGTCTCGCTCTTCTAGCTCAAGCTGGCATGCCCTCTCGCTTTTGGTTTGAAGCTTTCAATACGGCTATATATCTCATCAACCGCATGCCTATTATTTCTCAAATTTCCCCATATCAACAATTGTTTCAACAAATTCTCGATTATTCTCATTTACGAGCCTTTGGATGCCTTTGTTATCCCTGGCTCCGTCCCTATTGTTCTAACAAATTGGAGTTCCGCTCTTCTTCGTGTTGTTTTCTAGGCTATAGTACCTTTCATAAAGGGTATCGCTGCTATGACATGCAAAGTCACCGGGTTTACATATCTCGTCACGTCAAATTTGATGAATCTGTTTACCCGTTTATCACAAACTCTAATTCTCCACCATCTCCTACCACTTTGCCCTCACTTGGTCCTATCTCCATCTGGCTACCATCAATCTCTGCCCCTACAGATACCGCATGGGTTGAGCCCACCATCAGCCCCGCCGACGGTGCCGCCTCCACTCCGCCAACCATAGATGACCCCCCGTCTCCCCCTTTACCTTCCCCTATACCACCAAACCACCCCCTCCCCCACCACCTCCCACCCGCACTCATCCCATGATCACACATTCTCAACATGGTATTTTCAAACCAAAAACCTTTACTGCTCGTTGCCTCATTGCTCTTACTTCTTCTCTTCCCTTGAGCCGATGTGCTACACTCAAGCTTCCAAATCACCTGAATGGCGAAAAGCTATGGATGAGGAATTTAATTCCTTACAGAAACAACACACATGGTCCCTTGTGCCATTTAATCCAATCATGAACGTCGTTGGCTGCAAATGGGTTTACTGGACAAAACATAACCCAAACAGCACCATCAGTCGCTACAAAGCTCGCCTTGTAGCGAAAGGATTTCACCAACAGCCTGGCATTGACTTTGTGGACACTTTTAGTCCTGTCGTAAAGCATACTACTATTCGGGTCGTTCTCACACTGGCTATCACTTATGGATGAGTGATTCAACAACTTGATGTCGAATGTGCATTTTTACACGGCGATCTCTAGGAAACTGTATATATGGCTCAACCATCGGGCTATGTTGATCCTGCTGCTCCTCATTCTGTTTGCTGAATGCACAAATCCATCTATGGCCTCCGACAAGCACCTCGCGCTTGGTTCGAAAAATTCACAGCTCGGCTCGAAGACATTGGTTTTTCAACCACTATCTCGGATCCATCGCTCTTCATTTACAATCATGGCTCTACCATTATCTATCTATTATCATATGTTGACGACATTATTTTAACAGGAAATGATTCCACCGCTATCTCTGCTATCACTGAGGAACTTCGCCACTCTTTCAAGATAAAGGACTTAGGCCCTTTGACTTATTTCTTGGGCATTCAACTCGTTCGACGAAGCCCCATCACATCTTCCTTAATCAGGCAAAGTACATTCATGACCTCTTATATCGCACCAATATGCTGGACTGCAAGCCTGTTTCCAGCCCTGCTACCTCGGATAAACTCGGTCATTCACGCATTGACCCTGTCTCAGATCCTACTCTATACAGGAGTGTGGTTGGAGCACTTCAATATGTTACTCTCAGTCGTCCTGACTTTAACTACGCTGTTAACCAGGCTTGTCAATTTCTCAAAGCACCCGAAGAACACAATTGGCGAGCTGTAAAGCGTATCCTTCGATACCTGAAAGGCACAATCTCTTATGGCATGCAACTTTAGCCTGGTCCTATTTCTTAACATGCCTATTGTGACGCTGATTGGGCCGGCAGTCCCGATGATCGCCGCTCTACTAGTGGCTATTGTTTATTTCTCGGGGCCAACCCTGTTTCCTGGAGTGCATAGAAGCAACCTACTGTTGCCCATTCTTCTACGGAGGCCGAGTATCGTTGTCTTGCTCAAACAACTGTTGAAATTCAATGGCTCCTCTCTCTTCTCCGAGAACTACGGATCTCGCTTCCCCGCGCTCCTGTATTGTGGTGCGACAACATCTCTGCCATTGCCCTAACTCGGAATCCCGTTTTTCATAGTCGCACTAAACACATTGAAATAGATTATCACTATGTTCGTGAATTAGTGGGTCGCCAGTTACTTGACATCCGTTACATCAACACCTGTGATCAAATCGCGGACATCTTCACCAAAGGACTGTCATCAGCACGGGTTCGTCTTTTACGGTCCAAGCTTCACATTGTTGACAGTGCTTCGCTTGCGGGAGGGTGATAACGTTCCTAGTCAGCAATCTTATCTCTTGTATCTAATTTAAGAATATTGCTCCCATAATCTCTACTTACCTTAATCATCCTCAATCATCCCTAATTTAGGGCTCTTGTAATATCTATATATACAATACACGAGAAGATGAGAAATACAAAAACAGAAAAACACAATTTCTTCACATATCATATCTATTGAACAAACAGAACAGAGAAGATCATAATGGTTTTGATGAGTTTTTGCAGTTAACATCCTACTTGATCTCATCCTATATTTAGTCTTTCCTGTTCTTTTTAGTTACATCCATAAAATAGTATTGTCCGAAGCAGTAGTTCTTTTTTCCCAAAACAACACCTACTTTTTTTCTCTATATACTAATTTCCAATCTTTTCCTTTTGACAACTGAGGCATTTATAAGGGCTTAATTCCTTAAAAAAAAAAATCCTCAACTTTAAGATCAATTCCAATTTTTCCATGAATTTTTTTTGTCTAAAATTCTCGCAAACTTTCACTTTAATCCTAAATCAATTCCCATGTCCAAAAATCGCCATTAGTTTCTTCAAACTTATGAGCATCAGGGCTAGTTAAAAGTTCACTATCGGAACCTGCATCCTCACCAAAACTCTCAACTTCCTATGGACAACAGTAGTTTTTTAATATTTGATAATTTTGAGGAAACTAATGACGATTTTTAGATGCGGAGTAGATTTTGAACAAAAGTAAAAGTTGATAATTTTTTTTGGATAAAAAAAATCCGATGCAAAATTAAGATTGAATCAAAATTTAAGGATTGTTTAGTGGATTAAGTAAGGGACTATATATATATATCATACTATGCACCCTTCGATGGGCACGTTGAAAATTGACCACGCACGCTATTTCGTGCCAT